ATGTTGATGGAGACTTCAACCCACGAAGGGTAACGGCTGCACAAGTCCACGGAGGGCTCCACCCACGAAGGGTCCACGAAGAAGCAACCTTGTCTATCCCACCATGGTCGTCGCCCACGAAGTACTTGCCTCACTAGGGTAGATCTTCACGAAGTGGGAATCTCCTTGCCCTTACAAACTCCTTGGTTCAACTCCACAATCTTGTCGGAGGCTCCCAAGTGACACCTAGCCAATCTAGGAGACACCACTCTCCAAGAAGTAACAAATGGTGTGTGTTGATGATGCACTCCTTGCTCTTGTGCTTCAAATGATAGTCTCCCCAACACTCAACTCTCTTTCACAGGATTTGGATTTGGTGGAAAGAATATTTGAGTGGAGAGCAACTTGGGGAAGGCTAGAGATCAAGATTCATATGGTAGGAATGGAATATCTTAACCTCAACACAAGTGTAGGTGGTTCTCTCTCAGCAAATGTATGTTGGAAGTGTAGGCATGTACTGATGGCTCTCTCCACGAATGAAGAGTGGGTGGGGGTATATATAGCCTCCACACAAAATCTAACCATCACACACAACTTACCAATCTCGGTGGGACCGAATCATGAAACTCGGTCGGACCGATTTAGCAAATAATGTGACCATTAAGATTTTCGGTGGGACCGACATGTCAACTCGGTGGGGACGATGTGGTTAGGGTGAGGGCATAACATAATCTCGGTGAGACCGATTACACAAACTCGGTGAGACCGATTACACAAACTCGGTGAGACCGATTTTGGTAATAAGCTAACCAGAGAGTTGGTCAGGCAAACTCGGTGGGACCGATTCGCTCATCTCGGTTGGACCGAAATGTTACAAAGAGGAATAGAGAGTTTGCATTGTAATCTCGGTAGGACCGATTACACAAACTGGGTGAGACCGGTTTTGGTAATGGATACATACAAAGAGATTACAATCCCATCTCGGTGAGACCGAGATCTCTATCGGTGAGACCGACTTGATTAGGGTTTTGTGGCAGTGGCTATGACAACTGAACTCGGTGGCGCCGGATAGATAGAATCGGTGGGGCGAGTTGGACTTTTGGTTTGGGTCATATGTGGATGTGAGAGAGTGGTTGAGGGCTTTGGAGCATATCACTAAGCACTTTGAGCAAGCAAGCCATTAAGCAACACCTCATCCCCTCTTGATAGTATTGGCTTTTCCTATAGACTCAATGTGATCTTGGATCACTAAAATAGAAAATGTAGAGTCTTGTGCTTTGAGCTTGAGCCAATCCTTTGTCCTTAGCGTCTTGAAGGGGTTCCACATCCTCTAGTCCATGCCACTCCATTGTTGAACTTTATCTGAAACATACTAGGTAAAAGTCACCTAGGGAGCACTTGTGCTTTCAATCTTAGTCTTCCACATGAATTTATGTGGGTATTTTACCCCCACTCTTAATCAAAAACATGTAGTAAGATTTAACAATGCAAATCCCTTTTTGTATCTAGGGTCCAGAAAATTTTATCTCTGTCCCCACTCAAGATCACATTTGAGCAACTTTCTTTATGTGCTCCTACAATTCCAAAGAATCTCCATAAAGAGTTCTTCTAAAATCAAAATTATTTATCCCTTTATCAAGGATATTTTTAACTGATTTATTTTGTTAACACACAAATTGTAGAGTATGGGGAAATCATCCTTCATAGCTCTATTACTAATCCATCCATCTTCCCTAAATCTAACACTCTCCCTGTTCCCTACCTCAAATCTGCATAATGAAAGAAAGTGATATTTATACTTAAAAAGCTCAATCCATAATTGGGAGTCTCATTGTCTATGTCTAACATTAGCCAGGTCCCCGCCCCCTTTGTTGAGAAGAATTTCCTGCCCAAGACCAGTAATGTTAAAGATTTTCCACCACCATTTCACCATCATTTCTTTATTCATTAAAGATAAGTTTTGTATTCCCAAGCCCCCCAAGTCTTTATGTTTGCACACTTCAGACCATCTCCCTAAGTGATATTTCCTCTTTTCAGAGAAGTCTAGCTCTGAAATAATCCATTCTCTTGTCCACCCCCACAAGAAGCCCATAAAAAGCATCATGTGGTAAGGAATCCTAGTAAGAGAGGATTGAATCAAACTGAATCTTCCAACACTTGCTAGCAACCTCCCTTGCCAGTTGCTACTTTTTCTCCATTCTATCTTCAGGAGGCCCCCAGCTTTTATTCTTAATTCTTTTCTTATCTATAGGTAGTCCTAGATATTTCATAGGTAAACATCCTACAGGGCATGTAAAGATTTGGGCAAATTATGTTGTTTCATTAGCAGCTTCCCCAAACAGAAACAACTCACTTTTGTGGAATTTTATTTTCAACTCGGCCATCTATTCAGAAAGACAGAGTGTAAATTTTAGGTTGTCTGCACTATCAAAATCATCTTGCAATAAGAAAATTGTATCATTTGCACATTGAAGCATATTGATTCCTTTATCAACATTCAACTCTAACACCCCCTTAACCAGCCATTTGCTTTGCCTTTATCCATCAAAATGGCCAGAGCATCAGCAACCATGTCAAAAAATTAAGGGGGGTATAGAATCTCCCTGTCTCAATCCTTTATGTGTAGGGAAATATTTTTCCCATATTATCATTAACTTTAACACACAATACCCCCCCCCCCTAATAGTGTGCATAATCCAATCAATCCATCTATCTAGAAATCCTTTCAATTTTTAACATTTGTAGAACAAAAGGCCATCTAACCTTGTCATATGTTTTTTTCAAAATCAACCTTGAACGGCAGGGCACTTTGCTTCTTTTTATGTATGTTGTTCAAAGCTTCATGTAAAAATAAGGACCCCTTCCATAATATATCTACCTTGACAAAGGCAATCTATATTGGTGAAATAACTTCACCTGCAACACCATTTAGTCTATTCATTAGTACTTTTGTAAAAATCTTAAATGTAACATTCAACAAGCAAATGAGTCTGATTTTTTGTATTTGATTGGCCTCTTTGGTCTTAGGAACTAATGTGATAATCCCAAGTTTAGTATAGAGATATCCAATTTACCAATATGAAAATGATCAAAAAGATCCTTAATATCATATTTCACCAGATCCCAAAAATGCTGATAAAATTCAATAGTAAAACAAATTGGACCTGGAGATTTATTGTGTGCCATTCCCAAAACAACAATTTTAATCTCATCTATTGTGAATTCATCTATCAAGCTAACACCATCCCCTCTAGGTATAGTTCTAGTATCATAAGTATCCAAAGCAATAGTAGATCTTTCTGGATGTCCAAATAAGTTTTTGCAGTAATTTGTAATATGTACCATGATGTTTTTCTCTCCCTCTATGCTCCCTTCATCTTGATCCAAACTATTAATTTTATTTTCCCTTCTTCTCCCATTAGCTTTAGCATGGAAGAACTTAGTATTACTATCTCCCTCAAAGAGCTCATCAATTTTAGCTATTTGTTTCCATTTAGCTTCCTCCTATTTTAATAGCATATCCAATTGAGCTCTCAACTCCATTAGTTATTGTCTAGCAGCAACAGTTAATCCATATATCTCACTTTTTTTTTCAATTGCATCTAGTTGCCCTAATATTTTTTTCTAGCTCCCTATACCAAGCATTCATATTCTTGTTCCAACATTTTAACCTACGTCTCAAGTTCCTCATTTTTTGCTGCCATCTATCAAAACTAGATACCACCATACTAGGATCATTCCAAGTATCTATAATTTTTTTATCCAGACCCTCTCTTAAAAACCAAGAGTTTTCAAATCTGAATATGGGATCAGTTTTTGGCACACCCCCTGTGTCTATAAAAAAGGGTGTGTGATCGGATTTCTCCCTAACTAAAGTTGTTCCTTCAGTCAGAGAATAATTCTCCTCCCAATGAACACAACACAGGATTCTTCAGTCAGGATTTTTTGCCATGCAAATCAAGCTCTCTCAAACCAGTCTGCTCCAGTACATCATTAAAGATAAAGCTCCAATGTACATGAGTCCTACATTTATTTTTCTTACAAGCTTATCTAATTATATTAAAATCTCCCTATAAGTACAGGGTTTAGACAATAATGTAGAACTCTAGAAAGTTCAGCTAGAAATCTAGCTTTCCTCTCAGGTTGTGCATCACCATAAATCGACACAAGGTCCCCAATGAACCTGTGTTTAACATCTTGAACAATCATTTTAATATGATATTCCCCCTCATCTTCAGAAATCACATCAAGGGTGGTACAATTAACCCCCAACGAAAGGCCCCCAGGTTTCCCTCTCGCAAGTACAAAATGCCAATGAAAGTCCCTGCCAGCACATCACGGATTGTTTGCAAATCGTTTCTAGAAAAACTTTGTCTCATATTCCTTTTTTTTAACCGAAAACCGTAGAGCAATCGTTCTACAATATTTATATTAAAAATAATTTTTTTTGTCTCATAGTTTTCTGGAAAATCAAGAAAGTTCGATCAATGTCTTAACGTCTATATCTGTTGTTTCTGGACAACCAAGGCACAAACATGCAACTAGTTCTTGTTGGTTTGAACATTGTTCTCGTTGAACCAAATTCGAAAGACCAAAACTCTCCTGGGCGTGTGGAAAGCACAGGTGACTGACAAAGCCCTCTCTCACGAAATCCATCGCGTGTCCATGTGGACCACGTACACCCGTGGACTACACCCACAGCACAACGGTACCCCCGTCCAGCCCCTCACCGTCTACCCGCGTACACCGCGTCCATCCAGGAACCCCCCACACACCACACTGCACAAAACTGCGACGCCCACGCGGCCTCCCCACCCCCACGAACCCCCCTTCTCACTGCCCGTGGGCCCCGCTCCCCCGCCCCCACCCGTCATAGAGACGTTCGGTGCGCGCAGCCTCCATTTCGTCGAGACACCTCGCCCCCATCTCCACCACCCACACCAGCCAAGGGGCACACGGTCTCCCCCCCGCCTCCGCGCGATCCAATCGCCTCGCCGTCGCCGCCGCCCGCCGCCGCCGCCATGTCCTTCCTCGCGCGGGCGCTGCGCCACTCGAAGCCGTACCTGCCGTCGTCGCGCGGCGCGTCCTGCCGCTGGATCTCGTCGACGCCCGCCGCGGGCTCGCCCGAGGCCGGCGCGGCCGTGGCGCCCGCCGACCCGGAGCTGCCCCCGCCGCGGGAGCCCGTCGGCGGGGCCCGCGTCGAGCTGCCGCCCAACCCGGAGGACGCGCTCGAGGTGTTCGTCGACGGCCACGCCGTGCGGATCCCCAAGGGCTTCTCCGTGCTCCAGGCCTGCGAGGTCGCCGGCGTCGACATCCCGCGCTTCTGCTACCACAGCCGCCTTTCCATCGCCGGCAACTGCCGCATGTGCCTCGTCGAGGTCGAGAAGTCGCCCAAGCCCGTCGCCTCCTGCGCCATGCCCGCCCTCCCAGGTCACCCCGTTGCCGCCGCCGCGCCCCCATTCTGATTCTTCTTCTCAGCGTGTTATGCACATCGGCCTCTCAGATCCGTTCAGCTCATAGACAATCAGCGCCTTAGGGTTCTCACGAACATTTCGTTTAATTAGTAATGCTTTTAGAGAAGAGAAACATCTTCTTAGATAGTTGTTGCAGGGGTACTGAATGATCATTCAAGCGTGTGTGATTTCTAGTAAGATTTGCGGGAGTTCCTGACCTTGGATTGCCTTGTTGGATTAGGGATGAAGATTAAGACCGACACACCAATTGCGAAGAAGGCAAGGGAGGGAGTCATGGAGTTCTTGTTGATGAACCATCCGCTGGATTGCCCAATCTGCGATCAGGGTGGGGAGTGCGATCTCCAGGATCAGTCCATGGCCTTTGGGGCTGACCGTGGTCGCTTCACCGATATGAAGAGGTCGGTTGTGGATAAGAATTTGGGCCCTCTGGTGAAGACGGTGATGACCCGTTGCATCCAGTGCACAAGGTGATGTTTTTGGTGCTTCTTGGTCAATGTTTATGAGTATTCACTTTATGTAAAATCATGCCTATCTGGTTTCTCTATGTTTCCACTAATGTAGGTGATTCATATTTCTAGCATTGTTAGGTTAAGAGCTTATTGAGGAAACTTATTAAGGTTAACAACTGGTCGAGGAGAACGTCTCTCCTAATATATTCATGTGCTTCAGTATGAATAATTTTACTGGTTCTTAGTTCGTGTTGTCATTGTGCCGTCACATTTATGTTGTCATGTATTGTTTTATTGACATTATTATTGCAGTAACGCATCATCCTTTGTGCAAAATAGTTTAGCTACCTGTGCAAGCTCTAGTTTACCTTTACCTTTTGCTAATATGTAATTTTCAAATTTCTCTCATCTTACAGGTGTGTCAGGTTTGCATCTGAGGTTGCTGGTGTTCAGGACCTGGGTATGTTAGGCCGTGGCAGTGGTGAAGAAATCGGAACATATGTGGGGAAACTTATGACAAGTGAACTATCTGGAAACGTTATTGATATCTGCCCCGTTGGAGCTCTTACATCCAAGCCATTTGCATTTAAAGCTAGGAACTGGGAGATGAAGGGCACTGAGACTATTGATGTTACTGATGCAGTAGGGTCCAACATACGTGTTGACAGCAGAGGTCCTGAAGTTATGCGCATTGTTCCTCGTCTCAATGAGGTTTGCTTATTCTCTGCTTCTTTGTAATTTTTCCTGTTTCGTATGGTCATACTGCCTGATACTTCATGGTAATATTACTATATTAAGTTATTAACCATGTTGTGAACCCCCAGAAGCCATAACATATGCTAAGTCTGTCGTAAAAGGTTGCCTAGCGTATGAAGAAGGCTTGTAGGCACTAGGCACCACCCTCCTACCTTAAGCGCGACTGTCTTGCCCATGTAATCAGTAACTAGGTGCTAGGCGATACCTCCTGCCCTTCTAGTGCTTATGCTTCTGGGAACATTATAAATATTAAAATATGGTCATTACGGAAATTTCTGTCATGCTTTCTCAGAATGGCATCCATAACTCTTGTCGAAAGATTGTTCAATGTTGTTAAATGAACATCCAAATTACTGTGTGTGCTTAAATTATTAGGTTAACTGCTCCATATGCATTAAACTGTTACTTAACAGTTAAACCGTTGTATTATTATCAACTAAAAAGCATGGACACGGGGATGGAAAGACGGGGATACGGGATACGGCGTTTTTCAAAAACAGCCATTCGGGATACGGCGAGTATGTATAAAATAAAATAAAAATATGCCATGTAATATACATTTAAGACAGAAAATTAATGAGAAAGAGATCAGAATAGAGAATAGTGCCCCATTTGCTGTCTCTTTTATCGAGTTCCTCATTCTCCCATGTCATGTCGTCGTTGCAAGCTCCATCCATCTTGCATAACACATCAATCACAAACAGTAAAGAAGATTAGAAGACAAGACATAATTGGAAGACAATACAAGCATGGGCTGCAACAGCACAAGCATGAGCAGCAGCAGCAGCAGCATAAGCGGCAACACAAGCAAGCAACATCCAGCAGCACAAGCAAATCTGAAGAATAAAAGAGGAAGAGATTGAGGAAAGAGGAGAGGGGAGAGGCTGCTGGGGGTAGCGCCAGCGGTCGCCGGTTGAATCCAGGCGTCGCCCTGGGTTGGGCCGAGGCTGTTTTGGGCCAGGCCGTGTCCCGGCATATCCATTTGTTTTTTTCTTCTTTTTTAAATCAAAATTCGGGTGATACTGCAAAGTTCATGAATCCTGGCGTATCCCCGTATCCCGCCGCATCAATATGGCAGTTTGGCACTTCCAGCCGTGTCCATGCTTTTTAGATTACCAATGCTGCCTCTCCCATGCTAGCTATGGACAGGGGTGCGTGGAAGCTTGCTATCCATGTGCCAGAGCCATGAGTTGGTTGCGAGATCTTATGGGTTTCACCTCTAGCCTACCCCAACTTGTTTGGGACTAAAGGCTTTGTTGTTGTTGTTGTTGTTGTTTTGTTTTGTAATGCTGCCTCTCCCATACATTGACATGTTACCTTGGTATATTTTGTAATATTAGTAGCTTGACAGTGCTCTCAGGATTTGTTCTTCTTGCAGAGTCATATTGTAACTGAATGCATTTGTCATAGCGTGTCTTATTTGCTTCCACTGTTTTTGAGTCGAACGACTAGTCGTGACTGAAAGTCGACTCAACATGTCAACTCAAATCATTGGCTGGTCGAGCGACTTGATCGACTAGTCTAGGTTTTTGAGTCGAACGATCCAAACCTATCCTGCGACCCTCTCCCTTGCCCCTTGGCCGCCGCCGCCGCCCCACAATCCTGCCGGCTGGCGCCGCCGCAAGCTGGGTTGCTGCTCCTCCCCTCCCCCCTGGTTGCTGGCTTGCTGCTGCTCCTCCCCTGTACCTATTGCTTAACTCATGTCGACTAGTCGACCATGAATCACGACTAGTCAAGAGTCGCTACCCCAGAACGACTCGTCGACTCGAAAACATTGTTTCTTCACATTAATGATCTTCCTGATTCTGGACCTAAAAGAGATGGAAGTAAATGTTGGTGTACTGTGAAAATATAATACAACATACTCCCTCGGTTCCTAAATACAAGTCTTTTTAGAGATTCCACTACAAACTACATATGGATGTATATAGACATATTTTAGAGTGTAGATTCACTCATTTTGCTCCGTATGTAGTCCATAGTGGAATCTCTAAACAGACTAGGGAGTAATATAAAGTGCTCTTACATACTTTTGCTATGTAATTTGCTTAAGGAATGGCTAGTTGACTGAGCCTTCCATCCTTAGCCTGCTAATTTATTTGCTATGAAAATGAATACCCGATTGAGCATTTTTTTATCATTGCAGGATATCAACGAAGAATGGATATCTGACAAAACACGGTTTTGTTATGATGGTTTGAAGAGGCAAAGACTAAACGACCCTATGATTCGTGGTCCTGATGGCAGGTTCAAGGCAGTGACATGGCGTGATGCTATTGCGGTTGTTGCTGAGGTTTTGAATCAAGTCAAGCCAGAAGAAATTACCGGAGTCGCTGGCAAACTTTCTGATGCAGAATCCATGATGGCGCTGAAAGATTTTGTTAATAAAATGGGTTCGGATAAGGTGCTCTGCGAGGGGAATGGTCCGAATCCACCAGCAGATATTCGATCAAACTACCTAATGAATACTAGCATTGCTGGTCTTGAGAAAGCTGATGTCTTCCTTTTGGTTGGCACACAGGTAAAACTCTGGTTTTCTTGCTCATGATCATTTCTCAGTTGCTTTCCTTATCTAACAAGCTTAGTTTGGTGTTCTGGTAGTGTATATTCCTCCGTTCTTGGATGTGCAACTGCTTGAAAGCATCTTTTAGAGCCATTGCAGCAATATCTTGCTTGAGTTTATAAAAACAACCCCGTAATAGAAATATTCCACGACACGTCACAACATAACATGTTGAGCACAAAGTAACCTCTAATTATATACCATTGCTAGTGGTGTTTTTTCTTTTTCGCAATAGCTACTAGTATACTACTTGTAATAATGCAGCTGATGTTTCTAAAGAATTGTGGTTACTTTCTTCAAGCATATCATAGCAGTGAACCACCATTAAATAGACGAATTTACTTGCGAGTCTGTTTGATATCCAACTTGTGAGACCAAGGGAATTGAGATGTGCTGTTTGTCCTTCACATCTTCTGTCACCCCTTCTTTTCGGTCATCCAACTATTCCGAGTAACATTTTTTTTTGCCTCCATAAAACAGCCAAGGGTGGAAGCTGCTATGGTGAACGCAAGGATTCAGAAGACTGTTAGAGCAACACAAGCAAAGGTGGGCTACATTGGTCCTCCAGCAGACTTCAACTATGACACTTGGCATCTTGGCACAGGGCCAGATACCCTTGTCGAGATCGCTGAGGGCCGACATCCTTTCTGTTCAATACTGAAGTCTGCAAAGAACCCAGTAATCATCGCTGGAGCTGGGTTATTTGAACGAGAAGACCAAGGTGCTGTGTTCTCAACAATTGAAACTGTTGCCAAGAAGTTCAATGTGACGAGACCGGACTGGAACGGCCTTAATGTCCTATTGCTCCATGCTGCACAGGCCGCAGCTCTTGATCTGGGCCTCGTTGCTAATCCCACCGAGAGCGTCAAGTCTGCAAAGTTCCTTTACCTGATGGGAGCCGACGATGTAAACTTGGACAACCTCCCAGCGGATGCATTTGTTGTTTACCAGGGGCACCATGGTGACAAGGCCGTGTACAGGGCCAATGTTATTCTGCCGTCCTCAGCATTTAGCGAGAAAGAAGGCACCTATGAGAACACCGAGGGATGCACCCAGTGGACCATCCCAGCTGTCCCCACGGTTGGTGATGCCAGGGATGACTGGAAGATCGTCCGTGCTCTTTCCGAGGTTGCCGGGGCTCCACTGCCTTACGACAGCGTCACAGCTGTGAGGAGCCGGATCAGCATGGTGGCCCCAAACCTTGTGCGCGTCGACGAGAGGGAGCCGTCGGTGATCTCTGCCGAGGTGAAGCCTCCGGTGAAGCAGCAAGTGAGCCCTGCCCCATTCAAAGCTGCCGTGGAGAACTTCTACATGACCGACGCGATCACGCGGGCTTCCAAGATCATGGCTCAGTGCAGCGCAACCTTGTTGAAGAAGTGAGGCCCTACTCTATGTTACGCCCCCTTGAAGAAGTTAAATTGTCGGCATACGAGATTTTAGTTGCTTTTCCATTTCACTCACCAGTTGTTGCTTGGTTGGTTGGGAGCATAAAATTTGGACTGCCTCTACCCTAGCTAGATCCGAGGAGCAGCGAAACTTGAAAGCAGTGCATTTTTCTGTAACGTGTGAGAAGCGGAGCATACTTAATAAGCTTGTTTTGTCCTTTCGAATTAGACGGCAGCCGCAAGCAAATAATTTTGTTGTATTTGGGTTTTCGCCTGCTCGTTTCCCGGTTCCAGGAAGCAGGCAAATGTAGCTGTATGTGCAAATTAAGGTATACCCCCATTTTATCATTCACTGGTGTGCTGAATGCCACATAGCTTTGGACATCCATCTCATTGTTCTTTCTTTGAATAGTTTATTTAGATGTTTTTGAATGTTGTATGTTTGTGTCAGATTGGTTTTCACAATTTGAATGTGGCTGATGCACGATCTGTTCGCTCACGGCGGTGCGGAGGTGAGATTGGCCTAAGGCAACTCCAACTTGGATAACCAAATTGCCTTGCCTGCAAATGTCTGGACAGTCGATTCAGTGGTGGTCACTAAATTTGTCTGGATCGGTCTGGATGTGTGAAATCCCACAAACCGAAACCAAACCTAGGAAGGATTCATGTCTGTCA